GCAGCATTTACGGAAGATCCGAACATAGCTAAGATTGAACGCAAATATTAGGCAAAGAAAATGAAGATATCTAGTACTAGAAAGTTGGAGAAAAAAGAAAAACGTACCACGATCTGGATTCTCAGCGAAAATGAAGCTCTCGTCGAACTTCAGTTTTTCGGGTTTGGAACGCCGCGTTTGATTATTAAACTGGCAAATCTTGTCAGCAAGCTTGTAGTTCAAACTCTGGCAAGAAGGCTCGATATTACACGCGCTGTAACAGACGGCGAGTCGAGGTACTGTAAACGACTTGTACACATGATCAAAAAGGACCAGGCCGTGCTCCGTGCGACTCGTGACTTTACACTGATGCCCGTGAGTTCGTAATATCGATACCAAGATGATAGCGACTTGGTTAAAATTCGACACCAGCTCCATCGAGCAAACTTTATAGATTTCAATTTGACTATACTAAAATGAATAAGTGGTCGAAAGCTTGTGTCATTCAGATAGCCAAAATAATACATTATTTATAACACTAGTAACATATCAATAGCTGTCTTAAATAAGACAAGCTCTCGGCAAACTCATTGAAGTACAACATTTAATTTAAATGAAGAGATGGACTTTTTCCAGCCCTGGACTTATTAATGTCAACCAACATTGTGCAATTACCAAAACAGTATAATTGATTACATTAAGGACTAAATTGCACTTTAAGAGATTGAAGCGTAAGCTCGTTAGCAGTTTAAAATTGTCGTCCAACCCAAAGCAAAGCATTCAAAAATAAGGGCAGCAATTAACCTACCAACTAATGGATCAACTCTGTTTACATGAATTTCATTTTGTCCACTTTTTGCAAAAAAAAAAACAAATGGAAATAACATCTACAATGTATCTTCCTTTAATATGGGGTCTAAGTTCAGTAAGTAGGGTTGACAACTGAGCATGAATTACTAGCAAAACATTGCACATATAATCCGCATTCTGTTAATTCCGTCGTGGTGTTTTCGACTTAGAATGGCGTATTTTATAAACAGACACAGCTAGGCCATTGACAAAGTACAACTGTTTAATTATTTGTGCATCATCCTCAAGGTCAGTTAAATTTATGCGTCAATGATGAAGAAAGAGACATCGGTACAATAGGCATGCTGCCTACACTAATGAGCAAACATTAATTTAAATTTCAATACAAAGAATCGCATTTTTTTTTTAGTTTGCCTAATTGGGTTGCATTTATTTCTTTCCCTTTCGTTCTTCGTTTATCCCTATATTTCAGGGGTCTCGACAAAAACGAAACAAAAAAAAAAAAAAAAGAAAGAAATAAACAGAAGAACAAGAGAAAATAAAAAAATAAAAAAATAGAAGGATGAAGGAAGAGTAAGAGAAAGATAAGTAATCATGGACAGGAAAAAACAAAGAATCTAACTAAAAGGTTACCATTAACTTTAATTTTAATACATATTTACCTACAAATTTTTTTTAACTTATCATACATTCACATCAATT